TATACAAACTTTAAACTTTAATTAATTAAAAGTTTTTTAATAATTTTAAAAAATTTTCTTAATAAAATTAATAAGTAGATCTTTAAAAATATATTTTACTTAAAAAGTATATTGTTAAAATTAATGTTTAAGATTTTATTAAAAAATTAGAGTTTAAAAAATGAACGCAAGCAAATTTGTCTGTGTTACAATTTAAGAGATAATATTGCATATTAGTATTAATAATCGTATTCAAATAATTCTAATAATACAATAATATAGAGTAGATATCTTAGATATTCTATCAAAATATAATAAATTATATAATACTAGTAGTTCTTTTGAAATAAACATAATACAATATAAACTTAAATATTCGCTTTTCTTTGCTATACTCAAATAATTCTTATAACTTTAATTAAAAATTAAAATCAGACTTGAATTAATATAAAGCATTAATAATAATATAGCAAGCAACTAATTAAAAATATTAACTAATCAAGCATTGTGATCATCTTTCATTTTTGATTTAATTCACAAGTGCGAGTATTATATCTAATGATTTTGCAGTTACTACAAATATACTTGCCCTAACTACTTTCTTTGTTCAATATACCATTGTATTGCTTATTAATATTAGTAGAAACATCTTCTAATGCACTCTTCAAATACTTTTTCAGAGCACCTTTGATATGTATCTGATAAGGATTACTAATATTTAATGTTTCATCTTTCGATTGTTTATTATGAATTTCTATTTCTTTTGCTTTAATTCAATCCAATAAAAGCTTATTTAATTCATCTTCTTGACCTATTTGAAGTACCAGATCAATTGCTTTTTTAGCATAACCAAAATCTTGATTGTATTTAGTTTTGTGTGACAAATTTTGTCTAACAGTTTCTGATAAAATATGTATATAACGAATTTTATTTAACATATCAAAATTAGTTTCAATTTAATATTCATACACTAACTCATTATTAGAATTATGCTGATTACTATATATTGCAATTGTAGTCTCTTCTTGAGGATTAAGCAATATATTATTATACTATTGAGCTAGAATTAAACCAATATGAATTATAGTACTACTTGTATTAAGCATTACTGCAAAGAAGTATCGACAAACTAACCCTCATATTATAAGCCACATGCATATATATAAATGATTAGAATTCCCATATAATACTATAAAATGTATCTTATTTTCTTTAATAGTTAAAACACTTCATATTTCATAAATACTAGTTAAATCCAAATATTGCATCATCGAGTTTAAATTCAGCATAGACGATTTATAGTTGTCTTCAACAAATTTAATATCATCATTATTGTCTGATTGGTTTTCTTCTTCTAAATTAAAACTCTACATAAATTGTTTAATATATAAATAAGTATACTTAAAAATCTTCAAAAATTTTTATAAATTTAAACTAATTTATACTTGAGTATTGATCAAAGGTTGCCAATTCTTAATTTCTTTAATATGATAAATTAAACTTTCATTTATTTGATGGTGTTGGATTTTTAATATTCATGATATAAGATACTTCTTGATTACATTATCAATTCATTTAAAGTATTTGCCAATAATATTAGATAAACCAACACTTGGGTTTTGATTATATAGTTTTTCGCATCGTTTAAAATATTCTTCTTTATCAAGTTGTTGTTGAATATGCGTATTCAATTCAAATAATATTGCAGAGCTCTTAATTAATCGCTTAATCAATGCATTATAACTTTCAACATATTGTGTTGATTGAATTTTAGCATTAAATGATTTATGTATATAGTACAAAGCCTAGGCAGTAACATCAGTTTTAAGAGCATGCTCAAGACACTTTTGTGATATTAGATAATTATGAAAAAGATTATTCCATCATTTTTTAAATTTATATTCAAAAGGGTTATTTCTATATTTATTTCATACATTGATAAAATTTTTATATTCATTATGCAATTTACTTTTTAAATTTTTTTTAATGTTCTTACGTATATGCCAAATACAATGATTATGCTTTGTATTTAGCAAAACCTCATTAATTGCTATATTTATAGTGAGATCTGCATCTGTATATAATACTTGGGGTGCAAGACCATTGGTAGCATGCAGTAGACAATCCAAAATCTATTTATAAGACTCTTTAGTTTTGTTTGAAATAACGGCTGTCACGGCCAATCTAGAATATTCATGATTATCTACAATTATTATAAAAGATAAGTATATTTGGTACTTGTTTGTATATGCTGTGTTATCAATGATTGCGATATCATAGAATTTTTTCTATAATTCAACTTGTGATGGTTTTATCCAAAACAATCCAGTAAGATGATTATCTTTACCTTCAAATTGGGCCTTAACAAACCAACTAGTCTCCTCATGTTATAATTATATTAGCTTTTTATAGAAGCATTAGTTTTTATTAAACATTTATCATGCTTAAAAAGTTGAATTGCATTATATACAGTTTTGGAACAGATTATTGCATCAGAGAAGTTTTTTTGTAGTTCACAAATTATTATGCCTGCTTTACAACCTACGCTTACAAAAAATTCAACTTGTTTAAGCATTTCTGAGTTGATATTTTGATGAAACATCTTGTACGCTTTTATATAATAGATAACTATATTTATTGTTTAATAAAGTAACACATATAGCACCACCAGATAAATTAAGATTGATTTTCTATGGGCAATCCATCTTTACACTCTCACGTTCATGAATATTTCATTGTCTGCTTTTTTTTTGCTTAATATTTGCCCAAATGCTTACATTCAAATATATGACGTACAATTTGACCATGCTTATCTTTTTTAAGTCAGCATTTAACTAGTTCAAATCCCAACTCCATCACATGATTCTGAACTTGTCTTTTAGCTAATTCCCAATCTATGAATTTATCTCCTACTTTAAGTCCAAATACTGTACTATTTTCCTCTTCACTTTTATCTATATCACTAGATTTAAATATCATACTTTCATCTTCAAACTCTTGTGATTCATTATCATTCACAATTGTCTCTTCTAAGTTTTCATCTTCAAACTCTTGTAATTTATTATCATTCACAATTGTCTCTTCTAAGTATACTTCAAAAATCAGGCACTTATTACTCATTTTATCATTATATATTTATATACAGGTAGTTATAATAAGTATCTTTGTAAGCAAGTTTCATATATTCATTGATAAAGTACCAATATAATTCTTTTCTATTATATATAAATAAATCAATGATATTATATTACATACCTGTCGTTTGCATTTACAAATAAAAATAAAATTAAATAAAATAAAAAAAGGTTGTACAAAGAAAAATGTTTGAAATTTTTTTTTTTTTCACTAGAATTCTAAAATATGACCTCTTAACTAAAAAGAATGATTGTTGTTGAAAAGATTTTGTAGGCAAAAAAAGAAGAAAATATTTGCTATCTGCAAACAAAAAAAAAGTTTGCTGCTATAAAAATTTTGTAAACAAAAAAAAAATATTTGCCACTTGCAAACAAAAAAGTTTACTGCCAGAAAGTTTTTGTAACAGAAAAAAAAAAAGTCTGCTACTTGTAAACAAAAAAAAGACCACCAAATCTGACTATTCTCTTCAGTACGTATGAAATCTGATTTCACACTGCAGTACGTATAGAATTTGACTTCTCATATTTGTCACCAAAAGGATTTTGTAAGCAGAAAAAAAAAGTTCACCACTTGCAAACAAAAAAAAACTACCAAATATGACTTCTTACTTTAGTATGTATGAATCTAATAATCTAATTTCTCAATACAGTACGTATGGAATTTGATTTCTCACTGTAATATTTATGATTTTACAACTTCTTACTGAAATATGTGTGATTTGGCTACCAAAATACAATTTTACTGCTAGAATACGATTTTGCAACTTCAACACCTCAACACCTTTGATACTAAAACACCCTACCAAAATATGTTATAATTTTCGCAAATCTAGTATTTATATAAAATTCACAGATCATGTTTTATACACATGTTACTCAGATTTGGTATTTTAGTGTTACATAAATTTATAGGTTAAATTCACCACCAGTTATATTTACCACTAGTGATCTTTAGTAATGTTCATTTATATATTATATATTTTATTATATTTGATTATATACTATATATATTATATATATATATGTACATGATCTCTCACTTAACCATATATCTATAGTATAAATCACGTAATTTCTGGCATTCCCCTTAGCATTAAGTAAACTACGCTTAGCTGCAATGATTAGCAATTAGCTCTAAAGATATAAAAAGGATATAAATTTCTCCAAGTTAACATTAAACCTGCACCGTTTACCTCTTAGACCCAGACTCTCCTCTTCTCTAA